CTTTCTAAATCCGTGCTGAGATTTCGTCAGACACAACCCATTAGGGCTGATCAGACTTCCAAGATAAGTGAAGTTGTCAATGCGTTCGACTACTTCACTCCCTATCCTTAGTTCAGGTGTTGACGCAGACCAGTCCTGAAGCAACAACTTGCATTTAGAGGGAGAGAAGCGCATTCCAAACATTCTGGCATTAATGCTCAGTGCTACCACAACACTGCATTTTATCAGCGTCTTCACCAAACAGGACTATGTCATCTACGTATTCTAAGTCGATAAGTACACCACCTGGTAGGAGATCGATTCCTGAAAATTCGGTCGACGAGGACGTTATTTCTAGCAGTCGGCTTGTGATGAAATTAAACAAAAATGGAGATAGTGGACAGCTTTGCCTGACACCACTTTAGTTTGTAAAGTCAGATGACAGTTCGCTATAACCTCCGACTCGACTGTTTGGGAATGGGTAGTTGTAAAGTAGACCGGCTGAATCGTTCCTTAAAATGTTCTGTCCATCGTCCTAAACTTCTGGACTGGAAGCAGATAAGTGTCGTATTTTTCCGAAATAGTCTCACTTACACTTGACTCCTTAATTTGAGTTTCTTTTATTAGTCCGAAAAGCTGTCTTGCGTTACCTACAATCGCTGCCTTTTCCGTCTCTTTTGCTTTCGTTGCCCACCACTGCTCACAGTCGTTCCTTAGACTTTTGTTTAACCTAGATCTGATTTGTTTTCGGTCTTCATCGTGTTCAGAGCCTGATGGGACGAGTTTACGAGAATCCATCAGTGCAACAGACCTAGAGGAAATCCATTGGTTCTTTGTAACCCTTTGGTTTAAATCACTAACAGATGTCACTGCTGTTTCCACAGCTGCTTTTATATCTTTCCAAGCAACATATGGGTCAGTCTCGTTTTCAGAACTACCTAATTGTGACCTCAGTTGTTCCTGGAACCTACTTTTTGTTTTCTCATTACTCAATTCAATTCTAATGGGTCTTTTTACTGTGGATTTTCCGCGTCCAGTGAGGTGCAAGCAGATGCGTGCCCGTATTAGAGGATGATCGGAGTCCAAGCAGGTATTCCAGAATGAGCAACAATCTTCTATCGAGCCTCTCCAACGATGACTGATGTCAATATAGTCTATTTGATTCCATCGTTGGTTTCGTGCAAGGGGTCGTAATGTTAGACAATGTCTCATATTATGCTTTAAATTAGTTTGCTAAAAATAAACGATTGTCTGAGCATAGCTTCAGCAGACGATCACCACTATCTGTTTGCTGAGCCGCAATACCCGCCTAAATGTCGTTCTGTTTGGTTCAAGCTACCTACTTGGACATTAAAGTCGCCTGCTACGAGTACTATGTTTGAGAGTCTAGCTTTTTGAAAAGTTCAGAAAGCTTCGCGTAAAATTCATCTTTCACTTCCTCCGGGCTGCAATCAGTCGGAGAGTAGGCAGAACCGACGAAAAGGCAATGACGTGTGTCCCCATCCTTCTGAGTTCTCATGGAGCCGTCTACCCAAGCAGCATATATGCGACTGTTAACAAGGAAACATTCCAAAAGTACTTGCTTTACCATCATACTTAGTGCTATGCCTATACCCGCCAGTCCACGAGAACTAAACGTCGGGTCGCCAGATAAACGGAGGTTGTGTCTCATCGGCTCCCCGTTTTGGCGAGGTGAGGCCAAGTGAATGACCACATTAGGATCCTATATATGTGTTTGGGAAACACACTACTGCCGTCACACCCCTGTACAGTCAGCAGTACAACTTAACCTTCGAACCTTGGGTTTGCTGCTTTTAGTGTTAACGTTCCTCAACAGATCTGTCTGGCATGTTAGGACCTAGAGGGACGACTGTTCCAAACAATATAGCTCGGTAGGTAAGCCCGACCACCAGGTCAATATAGCGGCAAAAGCGTGGGACATCTTCATTTCAACTGCAGAATTCAATATATTCGAGGTTGATTACCGAGTTGTTTATTAATGGCACATAACTTATCCACCTTCATTTAATTTTATAGTGAATATCGAGCCTAACTAAAGCTCGTGAAGAGCAGACTACAGAAAATCCGGCTGGTTTTCGATCTGGACGTGGTTGTATAGACCAGATATTCACACTACGTCAGGTTCTAGAACACAGACGCACGTTCAGACGCCCCATAATCGTAGTATTTCTTGACCTTAAAGCAGCATTCGACTCTGTCGATCGTAAGGTTCTATGGCAGTGTTTGTCACTGAAAGGAGTACCAAAGAAGTACATTAACCTTATAAAGGCTCTCTACTCGAACACAACTGGTAGAGTGAGAGCTTATGGCGAACTGTCATCAGAATTGATTACCTCATGTGGTGTTCGTCAGGGCTGCCCACTCTCTCTATTCTTGTTCAACTTTGTCGTCGACGTACTTTTAGAGATAACACTTTCCTCGTCTAGATTTCCAGGGGTTGAACTTCTACCAGAAGATTCACTTGTTGACTTAGAATATGCTGGTGACATGGTTTTATTTGGTGAAGACGCTGACAAAATGCAGTCTTTTGACCACTCTAAGCAACAATGCAAGCATATTCGGGATGCGAAATGTAAAATGTTGCTTCAGGATTGGGTTGCATTGACACCCGAACTAATGATAGGGAGGGAAGTAGTTGAGTGTGTCGACCGCTTCACTTATTTTGGAAGTCTCATCAGCCCTTGTGGTATGGTGTGTGACTAAAATCTCAGCACGGATACAGAAGGCTCGACTAGCTTTTGCCAACTTGCGTCATTTATGGCGTAGGCGATATATCCGTCTATAAACCAAAGGACGGGTTTACTGCGCAGCAGTTCATTTCGTCCTACTTTATGGAAGTGAAACATGGCCGGTAAGAGTAGAGGATATTCTTAGGTTACTAGTATTTGATCATAGGTGTCTTCGAAATATTGCTCGTATATCCTGGAACTATCGAGTAAGTAATGCAGTCGTTAGGAAACGGGTACTAGGTAAGGATGGCAAATCAATTGATGACGTAGTGAAACTTCATCAGTTGAGATGGCTGGGACACGTGTTACGCATGCCTAACAACCGACTGCCTCGACGTGCGATGTTCAGTGGTATAGGAGTAGGTTGGAAGAAAGCTAGGGGCGGCCAGACCAAAACATGGCACAAGTGCATGAAGTCACTGGCAAGTGGATTGAGTCATGTTGGTAGGTGTAGACTACCTGGTTGAGGACCGCGAGATGATAGCAACCGATGGTTAGAGACACTGAATGACATGGCTCAAAATCGTTTGCAATGGCGCAGGTGCATCGACTCTTTGTGTTCTCCCAAAGTTTGATTTCCTTATTCCTCCTTGTCTCTTTTTTTTCTCTTCCCAAATTTATTTCACTGGATTATACTCTTTAAATAACATCTTCAAACCCTAATCTTTCCGATTACTGCTTATCACCTCTACCACTACGGGATTTGAATCGACCACTGCATCTCTGTGCTAATGTGGTGTGGCAACTCGAACTGATGAACGTACGTACGAAGTTCTACGTCGTTACTGACTGATGTTCACACCCGACGAAACAAGCATACTTGATTCCACTGCTAGCCACTATTTATCTTTGCTTATAAAGCCTGTGTATTTATTTATTTAAACACATAAACATTGGTACAATGAGGCACAAGACAAACATGCACCACATAAATCATTCGATTTATATGAGGGCTGGGATACTGCCCGGGTGCTTAAACCGAAGCAAGTGGTCTTCTTGGGGGCGGCACATCCCAAGCCTTTCACCTGACAGTATAACCCACAAGGCAGTGGAGCAACTTATGAAGATGCAGTTCCATGCTAGCAGGCGACCAACAATAGGTTCATATGCTATTTGTTTCCTTAGGATCCTAGAGCCCATGTGCACCATTGGTTTGGAATCAGGGTTTTCCAACTCTCCTAGGTAGACTTTCCGTGTCCACCAACCCGGTTAAAGCGCCAGACATACGCTTTTCGTCCTCTCAATTTCGTAAACAACAGCCCCTCCACGAGAAGGCAGTGAGTAGGACTTCCCTGGCAGTGGTTGTATGCACGTGGCCATGTGAGAGCATTTCGAGAGGGAGAGCTGACTTTCCCCACTGTCGGACATACCAGGGCATTTGGGGGCTTGTGACATAAGGTAAAATCGAGGAAATCTGCACAGGATGCACATATACCAACAAGAGACTGAGTCCCGGGGTGAAAATCAACTCTGGGATACAGGCACATCCAGCTAACAAGTCCAAAATAGGATGAAACACATGTCATGGATTCCACTGCTGGTCAGTATCCATCTTTGCTCATTTGTTCATAAAGTTGAATTTATCCCATAGTTTTACAGTTTCTAAGATTACGTAAAAGTTTTTGTAGTTTGAAAAAGTAAAGTGACAAGTGAATTCTAGATTTTATTTACAATAATCGAAACGCTGGGCAACAGTAAAATTTATTTTGTAAAGAACCATAAACACTTACAAACAAAGTATAATCAGAAAAGTGAGGACAATATTACTGTTGATATCTACATAAATCTTATATTTGTTCCAAAATGTTTTTATTTAGGAACAACTGTCCTGATCAATTAAATGTAGATATAAATGATACTAAAATTATATTTTAAAGTGAAATAGAAGGTAGTTTTAACTGATTATTTAATAATTCTATTTACATTAACAAATGAATCATAGCCAAATTGCAGTAGATTTTGAACACTGCTAAGAATCAGTTTGAAGGAAGTTTTCTGAATAAACTGACATCTGAAGAACCACTAATAATCGACGAGAATCAAGTAGTTGTTTCACCCTATTTTAAAACTGTTCAGAAGTGCCCATTCGTGACCTCACATGAAATCGATGTCAATATATTCCGCTTTGAGGTAAGCACAATCTTTTTAGACTACTGAACTAGGATCAAATGGTTTCCCAATTAATTTCAGTTCATAACGAAAGCTATACAGACAACCAATTGAATCGGAAGGCATATTATTAAAAGAATACGTGTATCTGTGTGCAGGATCTTAATTAAAACAGTAGACGTAATCATCATCTAGGGCTAAAAGTGCAGGTCCTTTACATACTAACCCATATTGATTGTTCCAACTTGTCCGGTGGATTATAATTGGAGGTGCACAAGATACTGATTGAGATAAACGATGTGATAATTCATAGACATTAATTACATCACCTTTATGTAAATCCCATATACCAATATGATGATTTGGTAATAACGGACTAGCGATTGTTGTTTGTAAGACAGGATCAATAACTGGGCAAGGTGGGATGTGAGACGAGACCGACATCAAAGTAGAACCGTCTGAACCATAGTATTCAATCACTGGTTTATTAGGAAAACGATCATCCCACAATTCAATCAGACCACATCGACGACCTACAATCAGACCTAATCGGTCACCAGATGATGTGCCAAAACATTGTAAGCTAGTTACTTCTAAATTTGTATTTGTAGGAATACGTTGTGCGAGCGTAGTCCAATAACCTGTATGATAGTTGATTAACTGAATGTTTTTATGAGGAGTTAAAGATGGTTCAACTAAGGATAGAAAGCCTTTGGAATCAGACACACCCGCCACATACATAAGAGGTTGTCGACCATTTACAGATTTGATACATTTCTTGACAGGATTAAATGATTTCCATATTGAAGCTTCACAACAAGCCGTGAAGATCACCTTATTTCTCCGTCTGGACAACTGATTATAAGTATTTGACACATAAAGGGGAATGCAATAATTGTAGTTGCTTATACATATTTCATTTCTGGTCATAATATTTACAGAACGAGAATTGTGCAGATTACCAGTAGCTGTAGGTGTTAAATATGACGTACAGAAGCGAAAAAGGGAAGGATTAAACGGAACAGACAGTTGTGAAGTTAATGCGTGATTTTCCCCTGGAAATATAAGGATTGAAAAAAAAACAGAATTATACCGTTTGCAGATATATAAACAAATTCATCGGAAAAATGTTTTTGGAAATAGTGCCCTTCCCAAGTTGAATTATACTTTCATAAACTGGGTGACACTAATAATAACAGGTGAATAATATAATATGTAAAATTATATGGTAATTTGTCCTATCAAGTGAATTATCTATAAATAATTTTATGTTGGAGAAAATAAATTCATGACTGAATTAATACTGTATGGTCTAGGTATTAGATATATATAGTAGAATGTGGTAAAATCACAGCTTATCGGGTACTGGATCATTGCTAGTTGAAAGGTTGAAAAATGTAGATCCTAAGAGTCATGTGAGTTCACTCAACCATGAGTCTTGCAACTGGTACCTTAATCTCCTACAAATCAAGTACAGAACTGTCAGTGAGTCATCAATAATGTAAACTGGCACGAGTATGTGTTCGTCCGTACCATATTAGCACGATGACGTGAAAATAACATGAATATTAAATAAACCGAAATCACATTAGGAATATGGTTTGCAAGGATAGGCAGGAAAGGTATATATGGAAGAATACTAGAATTCAAGCTCGAGAGGAAAGTAAAAAGTGTAGGCATCTGAGCCACTGTGAATGATTCTGAAAATAGGGAAATACACAGATTTTAATATATTAAATATTTAACTATCTTCTCTCCTTCAATAGTCTATCCCAACAGCCCAGTCATCTAAAAACCCATTTCTATGTTTTAAATTCACCACACATATCCTATGCTGAATCAGCAAGACTGATTTGATTAACTATAAACACTCTAATTAATGGTCATTAAGGTAGACAGATTCATGTATAACTATTCGTTTAACGCCACTAGGTGACCTTAGAGCTTGAAAAGTCCCGGTGCCTGAATCTGGAATATGATTACTAAACTTTGGCAAAGGGTTATAACGAATCTTGCGCATCGACTGAAAACTGAATGGACAAATGGTCAACATCAACATGCTCTGAATATGAACTGCGGAAACTGCCACTTAGATGTTTAAAACATGTTATTAATCTAGCAAAAAAATAGCGTTTATTTGTGAAAATTATGTGTCTAAATATTCCTACAATGTTAGTAGTCAGAACGAGACACAACACCAGTCTATGAAAACGGTGACTGCTGACCTGAGCATTTGAAGGATGCTTTACTAATAAGGTGTAGCAACTCCAGCCGATGCAAATCTATGCCAGGTTCTGTGCTGAGGTTCTGCTTGTCTCTCTAAGAAACAATAATATACACTTCGCTTTTTGATATTTGCATTAAGTGTAAGAGATTAAAAAACCCTTTGTGTATATTTATTGAGAATTACCTGCAATTTTAAGAGTTATCAAGCTACCTCCCGATGCACTCTCAGTTAACAACGCGAGCTCCTTGCCCGGAACATACCAGGAGATATCAATAAAACGAAAGCATCCCAGTTGGGTGGGAAGTATTTTACTTGTTTCAGATAACTCGAATCTCATACTATTTTTATCGACTGATTCGCAAACACCCCAGTTGAAAGTAAACATTGTCAGGGAATTGGAACTGATTGTGTAAAGTGAATTATTATTGGAATACACCAAAGCATTACGGATCTGTCCTTTTACTGGTATCGTTTGCTTACATTTTTTGTTTCTAATATAACAGTGTGGCCATGTATCTGCATAAAAGTAATATGAATGAGTTATTAAAATACCAAGGCTACATTATTTTAAAAAATGCAATAAAGAAATTACTAATGAAATAGATGCCTTTAAAAGCAAGAGGATATCATCCATAACAGATAAACTCCCCTTTGCTCTTCCTTAACAGCATTATTGAGGTGAATACTTGAGATGTAGTTTGAAGGTTTATCCACACACTAAATTAAGTACCATACTAGTCGAAGTGACGCATAATAATTCACTATAAATACTGGTCGTCAGTTGTACCACCTAAAACCACGAACTAATTAAAGGATTTTTTAGACCAGCAAATAAACCTACATTATTCCACACAGTCTAATAAAAGTTAATGATCTCACCTCTCTTGAAAATAAAAATTACACGTAACTAATTTGCAAATAAAATTATGTTAATCCAATCGTAAACAGTAAATGGAGATTTTCAGGGGCAGAAATGTAAGTCAGGCAGACAATTCTGACTATCTTACTAGTGAATAAAGAGCCTCCTTTTGGCAGTTCATACAAGTTGACAAGTTTTACTAGCCTTTAATCAAATGTTATTTGCTTGAAATTCAAAGTAGTCAAGATATTGAAGCTGGTATGTTAGCAGACATGAACAACGAAATATGTACATCGCCACAGTTAGTATTAACACAATGAGTATATCACTAAGATGAAGAAAAGATAACATAAAATATTCAGTTCGAAACGAAAGGCAAGAAGTGCTGACAACTAAATATATTATCTTAGGCACGTATTATTACGGGCTGTTCCTGTATCAACATTTAGAATTTGCAAATAGAAGGAGCCGTCCCAAACGTCCTTGTATAATTTTCATACGAACATGAATTCTGAGCTAACTCTATTTTATTGATAGCTCATTGAATATAAAGTTGGATAATGTTGATATCAAAGTTTGATTCCTCGACAACTTATAACTTTTTATTCATGTTCTGCTATTCGCATCAAATAATTCGATGTCATGGACAGTTTCTCAAGTCAGCTTCATATCATTTCAATAACACCTATTAAAAGTGATGGGTGATTGGCACAAACATTCTCAGTATGGCTTAATGTTCTGAGAAATAAATTTATATATTTAAAACCTGACTATTGTATTGTACTTTTTAATCAAGAGGAAAAAACCTAATACAAAAGTGTTACGATACATTAAATTGCATTTACTGACAGATAACTGTTTCTTTCTAGTCCACTTGGACTTCTAAAGTCACTAGATTACACAGACTATTCTTATTTATGGTCAATAGTTATATCACGTGATATAATTATCACTAATGACATTAGTGATGAGACATTGAGTCTACAGTTAAATAACAACAAAAACACTCCGCTAAAGGCAGTTAAGCGGTTAAATTGCGGTTCTGCCCGCAGACAAATATTTTTAAATAAATTATGTACATCATAGCAAAATGGCATTGATCATTATAGGATGAATGATAAAATGACGTACATACAGCATCAACAGAGAGTGAATTTGATGTTTCGCGACGATTCAATAATTGAAGAATGTTCAGAAATTTTCTCCTGCGGATAGAAAGCATTTGATCAACTTTACGTTGAATTTCTGAATTGGCAAAGTAGGTATCCACCACCTTTTGCGTAACAAATCCAGGTGTTCCATGATTCTCAATTTTAAAGTAACGCTTTTTCGTATGATCATAATAATAACCAGGTATATCTAATTCTTAAGAAGATAGTTACACTATAGTACCTGAGGGTTTCCACATAATATGTATCGTGGTACCGTCCCAAATGATTTGTGCGGCAAGGTCAGCTTACAGAAGTTAATTGGGTTCAAAATGGTTCAAATGGTTGTGGACGGAATAGAAGAAGCTTTCGCTTAAGAGGCTTCCGTATCTAGTAGCAGGGGATCAACAAATCCTCCAGGCAGGAACCTAGGTATGTTAGCAATAAAACAGGAAAAGAAATTAATAAATCATAGTGCAACACTATCCTTAGTCCTTGAGACTAGATCAAGTTGCCTCCTAAAGGACTCCTGGGAAGTCGCTTGGACTAGCTCTGCCGGCAGCGAATTCCAGAATTTGACAACTCATAAGGAGTAGAAGTTGTTTCTACAGTCCGTTCTGCTATGTTGTGTCTCCAGTTTTGGGTGTTACCTCTTAGGTTAGTGTTGGAACTAAGCTTAAGTAGGTGTATGAGAGGATGTCCAGAAGTGTTAAGAATACTATAAGCCATCAGAAGGTCACATCTAAGACGTCCATACTCTAATGGGTAAAGGTTAAGTGAGTGGAGGCGTTCTTCGTAAGGTTTGGATTTGAGTCCGCTAACTGATTTCGTGGCTCGTCGTTGGACGAGCTCCAAAGTGACCTTGTCCTTTTAAAGTGAGGGGGGAGTACTATGTTTCCGTACTCTAAATGGGGACGGATAAAACTATTGAAGACTATATGGAAAGTTTTTCTGTCAAACTGGCCAAAAATGCGCTTCAATGTTACCAGTGCAAGGTTTGCTCGGAAGGCATTTTTGTCACAGTTAGCGTAAGACTTTAAATCGTACGGCACCAAGACTCCTAAATCTTTTTCGACTTGGGATACTACTAGAGAGGAGTTACCTAAGTTATAACTGTAGTGTGCGACATGTCGCAGATGGACCACTTTACAATTCATAATTCTGAAACTTTACAAACACGGTCGCAAAAATCCCGTAAATATTATTAAATAAACCAACAACGAATAACTGTGAAATATGTATGAAATTATCACGGCACGAGTGACAAATAGTTTTCAAAACCTGTTTTCGTGTGATTTGGTTTATCGTAATTACCCAATCATACAAGGTAAGTACAACTATCGACTGGCAAAAACTATTGGGGTACACTTTTCATAGCCGAGGCTAGTGAAATACACTGACATTTGTTGTTCAGTATCTAACTATGTATTCGTGTAATAAGGTTCAAACGTTACTAATTGCATGAAAGATAGAACATTTTAGTGAGCCGTGTGGCAGCTAACTAACATTCATTCCACGCATTATGTAATAATTAGTTAGATTCAGCAACACTACATCGCAGCGAGAAACAAAGTGATATGACTGGAGTTTCAATCAGCAATTTAACACCTGAAAATTTATACGAGAATTCAGATTGTGTAGAAAAATAAGAAAAAGAAATGAAATCTATATAACAAAAGACAGTTAACAATGAAAGTGTACAAGCGAGATCAGCTAACTGGACTTATTCATAGAACTTTACCCCAAATGACTTGGAATGATCGATGGTGGGGAAAGTCAGCTCTCCCTCTCGAAATGCTCTCACATGGCCACGTGCATACAACCACTGCCAGGGAAGTCCTACTCACTGCCTTCTCGTGGAGGGGCTGTTGTTTACGAAATTGAGAGGACGAAAAGCGTATGTCTGGCGCTTTAACCGGGTTGGTGGACACGGAAAGTCTACCTAGGAGAGTTGGAAAACCCTGATTCCAAACCAATGGTGCACATGGGCTCTAGGATCCTAAGGAAACAAATAGCATATGAATCTATTGTTGGTCGCCTGCTAGCAAGGAACTGCATCTTCATAAGTTGCTCCACTGCCTTGTGGGTTATACTGTCAGGTGAATGGCTTGGGATGTGCCGCCCCCAAGAAGACCACTTGCTTCGGTTTAAGCACCCGGGCAGTATCACAGCACTCTCACAGATCAATGATAAATAGGACTGGAAAAGTCGCTCTCTCTTCAACCCTCTCTGATACAAATTTCATCCATAATCATATGAAGACACTCGTTTTCGTTGGCGTTGGTGTCACATTAAACGCTAAAGCTGAAGCATCCGGTCATGTGTTATTAGATTAGAAAGCTTCATCAAAATGCATGAAAACTGGTATGAGAAACGATGTCTTTTCATCATTTTCACCTTAATTCCGACAGATTGCAACCCGTTTGACACCAGGGATTAGTTTTACTACCACTTAATTGTTCTTCTACAAAAATTACTTTCGACGGATATTGTGGTACTAGATGGAGACTTGAATGCTCAGGTCGGGCGTCTAGTCACAGAACAGAGTTGTTTAGGTGGTCAATGGACACTTGTTGGTTGGAAGTCAGATAATGGTTCCGGTCTCCTGCAAATTTGCGCAGACTACGATCTGTTTCTGATTAACACTAATTCCCGGCACAGTCAAATTGCGAATTGGTTGCAGCTTTTGTTGCAAAAAATATCAAACCGAGTTAAGTTTAAGGCCAGCTATCAACCAGCCGAAAAGTATGGATGAGCGTTGGCTGAAATCACATGACGCCATGAAGAAAGTGAGTAACTTCACTTACGGCTTTGCACAACGTCCCGTCTACAAGCACTGGGTCACTATCGGCTTCTTACAACTCAATGAAGCACGTCGGTCTACTTCGGGCGACCGTGAGTTTGACCATAAATAAGACTTTTACGTAATGAAGTTGTACAAAGGTTGTGTAAGTTCATAGAACCCTGGAGGTTGGAAGCAGTAGTTAATTCGTGTGACTGACACCTCTACATCATTATAATTAAAGTATTCTGATCCAGTGAAATCAGAAGTTGCAAACGAAGTGCTTCGAATATATATTTCCGAAACTATCGTTATGTTTAGAAAGGTTTTGTCTAGACTGGAAAGAAGTTACAGGGGATGCGTAGCACGGTGTATCCACTTGTGATCTGATGCGGACGCGTGTCTGGACACCCTCAACAAGGATGTGTTTAGTATAACTAATGAGGTCAGCACCTAAACCAAAGACTCACAGAACAATTCATTTTGGGATTTACTTACCGCTACACGTCTGTCACACACGCTACACGCGAAACCATCCTCACACCAAGCCCTATTTCATTTATACGCCGTTTCCCCGGGTACTATTTGACCACAAGAATAGCGCAGCATTCCAAACAACGACTGTTAGTGTAGTTTTCAGCACGCTAATCCTTTCTTATCATAACGGTGAGAACGCGGGAATGTTGTGCCACATCTGGTCTCTGAAACAATAGATATTCAATTGTATGGGTAGACTGCAGTCTAATTTAGAACACATATAATAGCATTACCAAAGACTACCGCTGACTGTTCTTTGATTTCTCTGCCGACTCAACGCTTAGTTTGTTAGTTACATGTCCAGATGTGAACTCCTGAGAAGTTATTAATCAGAATCCACCAAAATTTTAAAAACGCGAGTGACTTTATATCGTTACGGTCTTGATGCAACGGAAAGATTCATGTATTAATATATTTCAAGGAACCAACATCCGAATTGTTCACAATTTTTATATAATTGAGAGACTCTCAGAACACTGTTTTCCCATGTTTCCATAATTTCAAACTCTCGTTTGATCCACAAATTCTTCCTATATGCTTTATTATTCCGGGTTTGCCATTATCACTGTGGAATTGTATAACACATGACTAAGTTATGCACACATCAAAAATTCTTGATAGTACAGCTGTGTGACCGGACATTTGAATTATTTTATTATTTAGGTTTTCTGTCACGAATGAATTAAGCATGATAGAGAATTGACCTGATTTGCATCTTCATCACTTTGGTTAAGTGGTCGACGATCAGTAAATATTAGAGCCTTGTTTATTGTTCATTGATCAGTACCCCGACTAAAATATAATTCTCAGGTTCAATTAGGAATATAAGTGAACTAGCGACTACAACGCTTTTTGTATCATTATAGCTCGACCACAAAACATCCATTAAAACCCAGCGAAGCAATGTTTTTATTGGGCTAATAAAACTTTGTTTTTCTTTTAAACTGTGGTTATAGCCATTATATTTACATTAGCCGGCCTTGCACAATTTTCTAGTAATGCTGCTCTACCACATACATTGAATGGTTCAGTATTTAATCAACATTGAATGTAAAGGACGTTTCTAGGTCATTCTTAACCGCTGTATTCAGGCATTTGGTTGATGGCGATTGTGGAAGCGGGTCACAATGCTAACGCACACCTTGGTGAGAGTCTACCAAACTACCAGGTTGAGCTAGACACCTCAGAAGAAAAGTTGAACTCCAATTTCTTTATTTCATGATTCAGCAGTTATGCAGATTCATACGGGTCTACTTGTGTTCGTTGTGGAGATCCCTTCCAATTAAATGAAAAAGTTGTGCAGACGAAAGATAGCAGTTACCACGTGAAGTGTTTTGTGTACGTTCAAATAATGCGTTTTAATTTTTCCTAGCTGTGTTCAGTGTTTTCAACCATTCCCGGAAGGCGTTTATTATGAAGTAATTACATGAGGTACTTCATGCTTTTACCTTAGTTTGATGGCCGGAAATACTGTGAACATGATTTTCACGTTTTATTTGCGCCATGTTGTGGAAAGTGTGGTAGAGTCTTTTTCGGATAATGTCATTTTTCATTAGGATGTTTCATAATTGGCAGGGTGATAAAGGCAATGAATTATAACTGGCATCCTGATTGTTTCCGTTGTCACATATGTGATAAGTGTCTTGCAGATGAGGGTTTTGTCAAATTACATGGGAGGTAATATTTTCTTCAATCTAATTTGCTTCATGGACTCATATATCATTCCCACAATGGTTTTTTAAATTATTTATAACATTGTTTCTAGAACCTGAAAACATGTTATTCATTACAGATGTTTTCAGCATTCTAAGTGCATCAAAGTCCTAGTTTGGTGGTAAATACCTCAATACTGGCTGATGGAAATGTGGTTTATTTAAGTCCATCATCAATTTGATTGTGGGGACCGCCATGTCAAATAATATTTTTCCTTATTCTTGAGGT